CTGCATTTAGGGTAGATAGTGTTAGGGTAATATGCAGTCTGGAATTGCCTTTCTCTCATTGCGTTATGCATGGAATTAAAGTTTGATTTTATTTTGCTCTCACACAGTAGCCTAAAGATTTTGTTTGCATTTTATATTGTAAATTATAGTGAGCCGGGAAGTGTAGCTTTCTTTGGTATGGCATTACGACCAGTGAAGAGGTTCGAATAGATAGTTTTAGGTTGGGGAGATATGCGCAAGTGACGGGTGTGAGCATAGATGACCAGGTGAAGGGCGACTTAAGTCTAGGTGGTGATCGACCGATATATAATCTTATCAGTCACAGATTGATGAGCTTTTAACGGTAAAGGCGAAGACTGAAAGTGCTTGATGAATTCAGATTGACGAAGTTGTCTGTTGATGTTATCAAGAGCAGCGACATTCAACGGTTACGCAAATGGCTTCCGAAGGAATTTACGTTCAGTGAAGTGCTTAGCATTATTCGGTGTCAAATATGGCAATAGTTATGGTCAGAATACGATCAGTCGGAGGTTCCTGTTTTTGGGTGGAAAGTCCTGTAATTCCCGAAAGGCAAATTCTGGGTTTTCCACTAATGTTCTCACTGGAAAACATGAACCATTTCGACCAATTGGTATGATTTCTCTTCAGGAATTGATTTTCAACTCATCATCAGAGTAGCTTTCATTTTAGCGGAAAGACTCAAGTTTACCGTTTCACAACATCAAATTTGATGAAGTTTTTGTTCCATTTTTTATTGACTTTTTTTTCGTTCTTGAGAATGGAAATGTTATATCTGCGATTAAGGGTGGTTTTCTTACCTCGTTTAGTTGGGAGGAAAAAGACTAACTAGTAAGAAGTGAATGACAGGCGATTTCTGGTCTTACAATTGATCAGCAAAAGGGGATATCGATAGCATCTTTACTATTTTACTTGATTAAAACTGATCGATTCGAGCACTATTCTGGGCCTAAACAATTGATTTTATGTATCACAACAATTGCGAGAGTTGAAGGATTTTTTATAATCGGGGATGTGAATGGATATCCATCTGGCTTACACTGAAGTGATGAGGTGTTCAGTCTGTGATATTATCGACTCTTCTTCCAAAGAATGCTCGGAGAAGTAGATCGCATCAATAAGGCCATCATCCATGCATACATCAATCGCATTTTGAAAGTTTTATTTCATGATAACGAGAAATAGAAAGACTGCAAATCAAATTTAAGTATTGCAATCGAATCGCACGTCAACGTCAACGGCAACGAACGTCAAAAAAGAAAAATACCAACGAATTTCGCCATTAAAACATGTGCTGCTAAGACCTGACACTTACGTGGGTTCCACACTGCCCTCAGAAACTCAGGTTTGTATGATTGCTCAATGTGTGCNAATGTGTGCGTGTGTTCATTGAATCTTGAATCCCGTATCAATAAGTTCTTGGATTCTATGCAGTTTTCCATGAAAACAAATAACTTCTGCGGAAATTTTTCGGAATCATTTGAAAGATATGAATTTCGCATTCGTTAATTGAAATTCTCTTGCAATTTGCGTGCGATATTTTGAGAATATTTTGCTTTTTATTGTGTGAATGCATTGGGTATGTGGAGAAATAAGTGAATGCTGGACGCAAGTGAAATTTCAGAATATATATTTATATGATGCGGAATTGAAGAGAATGTGCAAACGTGAATTGAGCTATGTTCCGGCACTGATTAAGATATTTGATGAGGTTCTAGTGAATGCAGCCGATAATAAACAACGCGATCCGACAATGACCTCGATTCGAGTGAATATCGATAAGTGAGTTTGCTGTCTTGTGGATGGATATATGAAATCCAAATAACCCATTCAAACATTGGTTGATTCTCTCAGAAATGTTATGAGAAAATAGCGAATGTTTTGTAGAGATCGTAATGAAGTGTCGGTCTGGAATGATGGTGAAGGTATTCCGGTGGAGATACACTCAGAGGAGGGTGTTTACATACCATCGCTTATATTTGGTACCTTGCTAACGTCGTCGAATTATGATGACTCTGAAATCAAAATTATTGGTTGGTGACAATCGTTGCTTGTGTATTGTACACCTAATAGGACACAATTCCTTACGTGTTTTTTATGAGCGACTTTTTCTATTGTTGAATGACTCTATCGAATTTCTACAGATGATTTCAATATTGCATTAACAATTGTTCGATTGAAATAAAAAACGAATCATTTTCAAGGTGGACGCAATGGTTTTGGTGCGAAGTTGTGTAATATATTCAGTAAGAAATTTACGGTTGAAACTCGCTCAGCAGCCACGGGAAATCACTTTGAACAGGTGAAATGTGAATGATTGTTTGGGCTTTCTACACTTATGTAGGGCTTTCGATACTTTGAAATGATAAACTCTGGTAAAGTTTCAACGCGGATAGGAAAAAGTAATAGTTCATAAAGGATTCTGGATTCGGTGATCAATTCGGTGTTTTTCGGAATTTTTCGAGAATTTCTTCAAAATCTTCATTTCAATTCATCAAGCAAGCAATTTTATGTGTTTTTTGATTGTAGACATGGCGCAACAATATGAGTGAATGTGATACGGCAATAGTAAAGTCGATAGTCGAAGACGGTGGAACGGATTTTACGAAAGTAACGTTCGAGCCTGATTTGAAGCGATTTTCATTGTCAGCGTTAAATGACGCAACGATCCAGTTAATGCAGCGACGTGTGGTGGATGTGGCTGGCACATTGAAAGGCGTTGAGGTGTTCCTGAATGGACACAAAATCGATGTTGGATTTTGGAATTATCCATTCATTTTCGACGGATTTAATCAATTTCTCATCTCTATTCCGAATATTTTTGTTATATCTTCGATGGATTTCATGTTAGATTTCAACGAATTTTGCATGTTGAAGTAAGTGCTTCAGGTTCATGGCTTTCGTGACTATATTCGTCTGTATACGGCGTCAGAAAATGAGGAAAGTGATGTGGAAATGCCTGTAAACAATGAAAAACGTGTGGTGTTCAGTGAGGTGAACGATAGGTGGCAAGTTGCAGTGGCAAGAAGCGATTGCGGTTTTGAGCAGATCAGTTTCGTGAATAATATTGCAACGGTGAAGGTTAGTCGTAGATTCACTCAGTGAAATATACTGAAGAATTTTCGAAGCTTCAATCATGGAATATTCTATAAATTGTGAGAGGACAAGCAATCGTCAAAGGCAGTTTCCGCCGAAACCTTTTAGGCAGCTGGAGTTCTTTTGTGAGAGGTGAACGAAATGGGCTTTCCTAAGTTGGAGCTCAAGCGTACACCCAGTGGTGAGGCAGAAAAAGTATTGAGAGTGGAATGAATGTGTTGAGCAGTGTAAATTGAAGTTGGTTGAGTTTTAGGGTGGAAGACATGTGGACTATGTTTGCGATCAACTCATCGCTCGAATCAAACAAGAATTAGAGACGAGATTCGAGAATGGCAGAAAATCCGTACGACCATTACAGGTTGCATATTGGATTGTTTGACAACATTGGGTGATCGATCACTCGTTAGTGTGAAAAGATGTTGAGATTATCTCGATGAAGATTTCATTCTTTCATCTATTTTTTGCTGCAATTTCGCTCATTTGCCGACTAACCATAAGATTTCTTTTACTGTTCATTTCAGATCAAAAATCGTTTATGTGTGTTTTTGAATTCATTCATCGAAAATCCTACGTTTGATTCACAAACAAAGGAATATTTGGCATCAGCGCCGAAGACGTTCGGATCGAAATGTCAACTTTCGGAAGCATTCTTCAGCGAACTATTCACCAGAACGGATATTGTTGAGTGCATAATAGGCGACTTGAATAAACGTGAAATGGTAAAAGAGCATGTTTGTCATGTTTTGTTGAATTTTGTTGTGGTAATTCTGAATTTGAGAGATTCACTATCAATTCTTTACGATGATTTCCTGAGGCTGTAGTGATATTTTGAGCAGATTTTGTAAACTGATGCGGGTCAGAGGAGTGAGTCTCCAACTCATAATTCCTCTCGGAAATGTTTATGAATTTTTTTTTAAATCCTCTTTTTATCAAAGAATTTCCGATGAGTTTCATGAAAATTTTCAATCTATATCCATTTTCTGAGAATTGACACAAATTTCAGCGTTCTCTGAACCGCTCGGCTGCGGTTGGAGGTCGCGAACTGAGCGACTTGCCTAAATTAGAAGATGCTGGCAATGCTGGAACGGTGCGATCCTCAGAGTGTACACTGATTTTGACAGAGGGCGATTCAGCGAAAGCTTTAGCAGTGGCAGGGTTGGCCGTAGTGGGACGAAAGAACTTCGGAGTGTTCCCATTGCGTGGAAAACTGACGAATGTTAGAGGATTGAGTGAAAAATTGGTAAACATTAAACATTCCCTGAAATTTCGCAATGTTTTGCAGAAGAATGCCGAATTTTTGTATGAAATTTTAGGAATTTTAAAAGAATTGATGAAAAGTTTTGGAGAATTCCACTTAAATTTTGGAAAAAGTTTGAAAGAGATTCGCTAATTTTTCGACAATTCCAACGAAGACTGAGATTGAATGAAAAATTTCAGTCGCTGCAAAATGCCGAAGTGTCTGCATTGGTTCGTATATTGGGATTGCGATTTGGCGAAGACTATAGCAGTGACGAGAAACGGAAAGAATTACGCTATGGGCATTTGATGATTATGACGGATCAGGTTGCGTTTCTGGAATTGCTTTCGAAAATTGAAGAAGATAGCGGTGTCTTAACAACGGATGTGAGATAAACAGTGAGTTCAGGGAATAATTCCTCGATGTTTGTGGTATTTCAGGATGAAGATGGTGCGCATATTCGTGGCCTAATCATAAATTTTCTCCATTCGTTTTGGCCGTCTCTAATTCGCACAGATTTCATTCATTACTTCATGACACCATTATTAAAGGTTTTTGCTTTTATTCATTTGTGAGTTTTATTTTAAGATGGATACTTTCCGTTTATTTGATCACTTTTACATGGAACTGCTAAAATTTCAGGCACGCCGCGGCGCAGAAGTGATACCATTCTTCAGCAATGCAGAATTTGAACGATGGAAACAAGAAAATCTTTTGAATGCAAAAAAATATTCAGTGAAATATTACAAAGGTACACTTAATTGGTGTGCCTGACGAAAGATATATTTTTGTTGATCGGATGTGGTCTTTCTTATGGCTTTTCGGCTGTTTTCATTGTTTCGAACGCAATATTTTTAATTTTTGTGATGTTGCTATCAACCCTTTCTTATTTCTTTCTGGTTTTGAAAGTAACAGCAGGGCGGATAGTTTGAAATTAATTTCAGGCTTGGGAACGTCTAGTGCCGAAGAGGCACGAGAATATTTCACACAGATGCGCAAGCATCGGATTGAATATGAGTACGGTGGTCAGGAGGATGATGAAAATATTGAAATGGCATTTGATAAAAATCGCGCGGATGACAGAAAAGCGTGGATAATTGCTAAAGCTTCGAATGTATAATGGAATATCATCTAATTTCCTTACTATTTTCCAGTTTCTTATCGTTTTTAGATTTTTAGTTTTGCATTTCTGTTCAT